TTGGGGAAAGCCTATGGTATTTTTGACCCCTTTAACTTGATGGGACCTAAACTCCCAGTCCGTCTTGCTAGCGGCTGGCCTGAGGCTGTGTTGGGCCAAGTCTAGAGCAGCTCACACTCTTGAGTGAGCTCTTTATCCCCAGGGCCTGGCCTTTCAGGTGTCACAGCTGGATGCATGGGCTGAGAAAAGTTAGTGAGCTGTCTCCACTCTGCGAGGACTGGAACTTCACTGTCTGGCATTGCTTCTCCCCCAGCATTGCCTGACTTCCAGTAACCCTTTTCTCTCTCATCCTGGAGCAGCTGCTGTCCAAAAATCAAGACTCAGGTGGTTTTGCCCCATGTCTACACGGGCCAGTCCTTAACTACAGACCCACAAGGATTCCCTTTCAGGCTTCTGGGACCCTGCCTCTGCACAATTCCCTACTCTGTGGTAGCTCATCCTGCAGAGTTCAATGGCTTCAGTTGCTCTGAGCTCTGCCTCCTTAGCTCAGTGGAAACCACCATAGCCTATTCAGACTCCACTCTCAGAACAGGGCTGAGAAATACCTAGACAGAGAGCTGGGCAACTGTGACTCTTTCAAGGATAGAAATTTTACATCACCAAGGCATTGTGGTACAGTGGGGTAAGCAGCTACCTGTGAGGCCAGCATCCCAAAGGAATACCAGTTGAATCCAACTGTTCCACTTTTGATCCAGCTCCCTGCTAATGTGCCTGGGAGAGCAGCAGAAGATGTTCCAAGTGCAAAGACCCCTGTACCTACATGGGAGACCCAAATGAAGCTCCAGGTTATTGGCTTTGATCTGGCCCATCCCTGGATGTTATGTCTATTTGAACCATCAAATAGAAGCTCGCTCGCTCACTCTCACTCTCTCTCTCCTCCCCCCTCTCTTTATATAACTCTGCTTTTCAAATAAATTAATAAATATTTTAGGCCGGCACTGCGGTTCACTTAGCTAATCCTCTGCCTGCGGCGCCGGCACCCCAGGTTCTAGTCCCGGTTAGGGCGCCAGATTCTGTCCCAGTTGCTCCTCTTCCAGTCCAGCTCTCTGCCGGAGTGCAGTGGAGGATGGCCCAGGTCCTTGGGTCCTGCACGGGCATGGGAGACCAGGAGGAAGCACCTGCTCCTGGCTTCGGATCGGCGCAGTGCACCGGCCATGGCAGCCATTTGGGGGGTGAACCAACAGAAAAGAAAGACCTTTCTCTCTCTCTCTCTCACTGTCTAACTCTGCCTGTCAAAAAAATAAATACACAAATATTTTTAAAAAGAAATTTTACACTACCACTGCTTGACACTGTTGCTTTATTTTGTTTAATTTTATAATCTCTTATAGAGGCTTCTTATACAGTTTTGATACGAGTTATTTTCTTATTATTGGAGGCAGAGTGCCTACCTAAACCACAAGCCAGAAGTGCCAGCCTCCATTTTATTTTAAAAATGGAAAACTTAGAGTTATTATAATATCCTATATCTATTAAGCTCAATTCTACCTGCATTTTCCTAATATCAAATTCAAGTTCCAACTTACTTGCAGATGGTATTCTCCAAAGCAATCACATCAATAATGGATATACTCTTTTATAAATATGGGCAATAACACAAAGGGAGTTGCTCTAATTGATAAATGCAGTAGCATTAATTTTTAAAGGTCCCACAACACAAAAAAAATTAATTCCATGAAAGATCTACTTTAATGTATTAATGAAAAGTGAATAAAATTTAAAATTAATAAATTAAAATGTGGAAAGCTAGGGTGGGTGTTTCCCACAGCCCATTGCAGAGCGCCTGGGTTTGAGTTCCAGCTTCCTGCCAACGTGGATGCTGGGAGGCAGCAGATGATGTCTGAGTACCTGGGTCCCTGCCATCCACGTCAGAGACCTGGACTGAGTCCTGGGTTCCTGGTTTCAGCCTGGCCCAACCCCGGATGCTGCAGGCATTTGGGGAGTGAAACAACAGAAAAAGATTTCTGTCTGTCTGTCACTGACATACTCCCTCTGTCTCTCTGAGTTTCAAGAAAATACAAGAAATTTTTTAAAAGACTTCTAGCCTCTTTGCCACTACTATGTAGGAATTTCAATAGGTAATCTGAGTAAATTATTAATGTTATAAAAGTTCAGGGAAATAAAGCTAATGACAGTTGTTTTTCAAACTTGGGAATGCCCTCTACACTCCCAAGATGAGAGGCATCTACTTTGCATTATGGAGCCTCTCTGAAGCCGCAGCTCCATGTCTGTAAAATGAAGACTATAATAACAAATAAAAGCTATGAGGGTCCAATGTGATTATAGAGTTCCTATTACAGGATAGACATACAATGACACTGAATGAAGTGCCATTCTCACTTAGCAGCAGCAGCACCATCTAGAAGTTCCACAGCCTAAATTCCACCAACACCATGGTCACCTGGCTGGGAAGCTCCTTAGCTTGGCTGCTCGGGAATGAAGGAGCCCTCTCTGACCTGGGGAGCCATCCAGGGACGGCCTATCACCCCGTCCTCTGCTATTACAGCACAGAAATAATACACTGCGGTGAAGTGATCTACAGAACCTATTCAAAGTCAAATTTCAAAAAAGCCTCCAGAGTCAGAAAAATGAGAAAGCTGTAAATACTGGATAGCCAATTAACAACAGATAATGAGTAATAACCCACTAACACCCACAGCACCTCTAAACCTGATAAGCCTTGGGGCAGGCGTTTGGCCTAGTGGGTAAGATGCTCACACCAGGATCAGAGCACCTGGGTTCAGGTCCCAGCTCTGTGCCTCACTTCAGCTCACTGCAGCCATGCACTCTGGCTCAAGGACAAGGGTCTCTGCCACCCACAGGGCAGACCTGGATAGGGCTTCTGACGCCCAGGCCCACCCATTATAGGCATTTGAGGAATGAGCTAGCAGACAGAAGCGCTCTGTCTTGGTCTCCATCTCTCAAACGATAAAAGACTAATTAAGTAATTAAACTCTGTCTTCTTTGGAGGACTTTCTTTCCCCTCCCCTTACTTTCCTTTTCCTTCTTCTAGCCCTCCTAACCCCCTCCACTTCTTCTCTAAACCCCTTTTCTCTTTCTTTTTATCAGGCAGAATAAAGAATTTAATCCTACTTGTTATACTTTTCAATAAAATAAGCAACATAAGCTTCTTGTTTTGTTTAAAGATTTATTTATCTATGAGAAAGGCAGAGCTGGGAAGGGGAGGGGAAAGTGAGATCTTCCATCTGCCGGGTCACTCCCCAACTGGAAACCAGTAGCCAGGTCTGGGTTAGGCTGAAGCCAGGAGCCAGGAACTCCATCCTGGTCTCCCACACGGATGGCAAGGGCCCAAGTACTTGGGCCATCTCCCATTGCCTTCCCAGGAGCATTAGCAGAAAGCTGGGTGGGAAACACAGCAACCAAGATTCAAACCAGTACTCCAACATGGGATGCTGGTGTCGTGAGCAGCGACTTAACCCACTGCACCACAATGCCAGCCCTGAAGACAGGTGTCAAAGACAGAAAATAAGAATTCAATTCATGAACTGACCTAGCCGTGAAGCCTCAGCAAGTTATACTAAGTGCTACAGTTTGCTCAACTGGAAAATGGGGATAATTAAGACATCTTCATGGAACTGAAGTATGAATTAAATTAAATTAAAGCTGCAAATTATCTACCCTCACACCTAACACACAATGGGTCATTCATAAAGTCCATTCCCTTTTCCCTTGGAGAATATCATCTGATCTTTGGTTATGCCTTCTACAGGTCAGTAACTCCTAAAAGAGGAAAACCCATTCCTTGCCCACATTTCCATCTATATTATGGGTACAGAGGCGTCCACATTATGAACATAGACAATGACTCGTACTACAGAATTCTGCACTGACTTCTATCATGGGTACTGTCCTTGATTTTTAAAATGTCAGTACAGAGAAATTTCAATAAGCCCTTGAAACACTAAGTAACTGCTGATAAACATAAGCTACCCATTTGAGAGTCACACATTCTATAAAAACAATAAATTAAAGATACAATGTCATATTTTAAAACTGGTATGAAACTGCCTCAACAGTTTGGGCCAACCAAATGAACTGTTTCCCAGGAATAGTTCCCATGTTGGGGTCTCAGTACAACAGAAGGTCAATTGCCAGTTGCCTCTTGCAACTCCTTTTAACCTTGATCCTAAGTGCTAATTCTAGTTCCAGGAGAGTTCCCTACTGGTCACCGGTAGATAAGATAAAACCACTTCAAGAAGACAACGTCAGGGCACCCAGGACCTCCTGCACTAAGCTCAGGTAACCACTACATAAAACAACCTACAGGAAAATCACTCGTGGCCAGCGGGTGACACAGAAGCTGCAGCCGAGAAGAGAACATGCAGAGCCGGTGCCCACCAATGGAGGCCCAAACGCAGACAGCGTGGGGCACACAGAAACCAACTCAGACAGAGTGGGGCCGGGTGGAAATCACCACGTACCCCAGGAAGGACCAAACACACATGTGGAAGAGAGGGAGTATCAGGTTGGGTGAGGAAGCCAGACAGGTACAAGCTCAATACTGAAGCAAAGCTCCTTTAAGAAAAGCCAAACAAAGACAATGAGAAATTGAAAATTCGAGGAAAAAGGTAAAGATGATTGCTTTGAGGGCACAAGAAGACACAGACTTCAACATCAAACCCTAATGGCAATAAATGGCAGATGAGAATGAAAATACACCTACAGCAAATCGAAGAACAGAGGTCTTCCAGAGCCAGAAGAATGGGCACGCTCCGGGTTTCGAACTGAAGAACAGGAGCACATCCTCACTGGGTTCAGGAGAGGAACCCAGTCTCACCATGGCATGCAGTTTTTAAAATGTACCAAAGTGCTCAGACTGCAGCACCCACGATGGCAGGCGACTCTAAGCCTGTGTCCCAGAAATGCTGTTTACTCTCACTGCCCGTCTCTGAAGGATGGGAGAGCACTGCAGCCACGTGGAAACCCAGAAACGGCCTGCCACAGGCCTTGGCTGGGGTGGCTACAATGACCATACTTACTCGAGTCCTCCCACTGGAACAAGTGCAGCTTCCATGCAGAGTAATACAAAAATCCCAGCACAAGGAAGAGGCAGAGGGCTAGCAGCAGATTGCGCACAAACACCAAGAGTCCCATCTTCACATGATTTACGATTTCCTACATGACCTAAAAAAAAAAAAAAGAAAAAGAAGAAGAAAAGAAAACACAGGTCTTAAAAGATAAAGCAAACAGCTTAAAATAAAGATCGATAGAGGAAACATCCCAAATGCAAAACAATCTAGAGGCTCCACTAAATCCGCACCATGGCGTCATGCACATGCAAGCTGCTCATCTCTGTCTCAAGGAGCAACTTCGTTATCACCCAGCACCTAAGCCAGAAATCAGCAGCGGTCCTAGGGCCCCCACCCATCCCAGCACCCACTCAGTGTCCCAGTTCTAGCCATACTGATGTCCCAAATAAATCTCAGCTCATAGCCCCTTCCCACCACTACTGCCCTAGCCCGTGCCACCACTGCATTCCCACAAAGCAGCTGCCCTGCCTTGAAATTGAGCAAATTTCCAGACCCATTTCTACATGGCACAAGGAGTAATCTCTCAACAGTACACCATCAGAAAATGCTGCTTCCTGCTCAGCTCCCTTATTCGTTCTCTGCTCTGTTGCTGTAGCACAGCACAAGAAATCCAGTCATCTAAAATAACATAAATCTATTATTTCAGGGTACTGAAGGACAAAGTCAGGGTGCGTGCCGCTCAGCTGGGTCCTTTGGGTGGACTTACAGGGGTGGGGGGCATCTGGCAGTGCCAAGGCAACTGCAGGTGGGACTTGGAATTCAAGACATCTGTAGCAGGCTAAGTTTTTTTTGTTTTGTTTTTGTTTTTGTTTTTAATAGGCAGAGTGGACAGTGAGAGAGAGAGAGAGAGAGAGAGAGGAAGGTCTTCCTTTTTTCCGTTGGTTCATCCTCCAATGGCTGCCATGGCTGGCACACTGCAGCCGGCGCACCACGCTGATCTGAAGGCAGGAGCCAGGTGCTTCTCCTGGTCTCCCATGTGGGTGCAGGGCCCAAGGACTTGGGCCATCCTCCACTGCACTCCTGGGTCACAGCAGAGAGCTGGCCTGGAAGAGGAGCAACCGGGACAGAATCTGGCGCCCCGACTGGGACTAGTACCCAGTGCGCCGGCGCCGCTAGGCGGAGGATTAGCCTGTTGAGCCGAGGCGCCGGCTTGTAGCAGGCTAAGTTTTAAGTGAATGATGTTGTAGGTCTCCATGCGGTAGAGAAAAGGCTCCGAGTCTCACAAGACCACACCAAGCCTTTCTGGAGGCTCTGAAAGGGAATCCGCAACCAATCCCCGATCCCAGCTGCCGGCGGAGCTCAGCCTGACCTGCCACTTCCTTGCTGGCTGCCAGCAGCCAGCCTTTGTTTCTGTGGCCCTTCCCAGGGCTCCCATGTGATCCCCGAGTGCCATGGCAGGCTGAGTCTCTTTGACTTTGAGTCTCTCCACCTGCCCCTTCTACTGTTTCACTTTTGCTTGAAGCTGGGAAAACTTGTTTGCTTTTCAGGCTCATGTGAGTCTACTGAGTCCACCTGAATAATTCATGACTCGCTCCTTATTTTAAGGCCCATAACCTTAATTAGGTCTGCAAAGCCCCTTCCATCTCTCAGGTGCGGGGTCAGAATGTGGTTATCTTCCGGAGGCCCTTCTGGCAAACACATCTGTCATTAAATTCCATTTCCTGTGCATAAACCAATTGCTCCTCAGAGCCTGGAGGCTTCCGACCAAGCCCCTGTTTACCTTCCAATCCATCTCCTTAAAGGCCCCAATCTCACGTGTGCCCTGGACTTTAGTCATTCTTCCTTCTATTTCCCTGATCGCTGCCCTGCTGTTTCTCTCCTCAAGGCCTGTCTGGAATACAATTTCCACACACCCTGATATTGCACCTGCTGTGCCACCCTTTGAGAATCACCATAAAAATAACACTAGCCAAGATGACCTGCCTAGATCAGCTCAAGTCAGGTATCTTAGTCACAACATAAGAGAAAGAAGTGTAAATATTAATAGTGGAATGGCTTTTAAAAGAAGTTATAATTTGCAGGTTATATAATTATTCACCTAGAAAAGCCAAGAGTCAACTGGAAAACTACTTGGGGGTGGCATCTGGCACAGTGGCGAAGCCACCACTAGGGACACCTGCGTCCCATACTGGAGCGCCTGGGATCAAGTCCCCCAGCCCTGCTTACAAGTCCAGCTTCCTGTTAACACGCACACTGGAAGGCAGTAATTATGGCTCAAAGAGTTGAGTCCCTGCCACAAACATAGGAGACTCAGATTCAGCTCTGGGATCTTGGCTTCAGCCTGGCCCAGTGCTGGCAGCTGCAGGCAACTGGGGACTGAACCAGCAGATGGAGGATCTGTTAGCCTGTCTCTGTCTCTGCATTTCCAATAAAAAACAGAAACAAAGAAATACAAATTCCAAAACACATTACAACAGGAAGCTTAATAAAGTGGATGATTACAAGACTAATTTATAAATATCAACAGTCCTTAAAACAATAACAGCAATATCCAGCTGGAAAATGTAGCTGTTTTTAATTTATTTATTTATTTGAAAGTCAGAGTTACACACAGAGAGAGGAGAGGCAGAGAGAGAGGTCTTCCGTCCGCTGGTTCACTCCCCAACTGGCCACAACAGCTGGAGCTGTGCCAATCCGAAGCCAGGAGCTTCTTCCGCATCTCCCACACGGGTGCAGGGGCCCAAGGACTTGGGCCATCTTCCTCTGCTTTTCCAGGCCATAGCAGAGAGCTGGATGGGAAGTGGAGCAGCCGGAACTCGAACTGGTGCCCATATGGGATGCTGGCACTGCAGGTGGTGGCTCTACCCGCTATGCCACAGCACCGGCCCCAAATGTATCATTTTTCATGGTAACAAAATCTAAAAATAAACTTAGGAAGATATGGGTAAGACTTTCATCAAAAGACTTTAAAAAAAATCTAAGTTAATATGTGACATAATAGGGGTTTTTAAAATTTATTAAAGACAGAGAACATGCAAGCTCTATCATCTGTTGGTTCCCTCCCCAAATGCCTACAACAACTAGGACTGGGCCAAGGTCAGAGCCTGAAGATGGGAACAAAATCTACACCTTCCCACAAGAGCAGCAGAAAACCAACTGCTTGAGCCACTACCTGCTGCCTCCCAGGGTGCACATTAGTAGGATGCTGGAATCGGGAGCTGGAGCAGAGAATGGAAGCCAGGCACTCTGTTATGGGATGCGGGCAGCTCAACCACCAGGATACATGTCTGTCCCCATAACAGGTTTCTAACTGAGAAGACTGAGTATAGGATATATGTCAGTTCTCTGTAAATTCAGCTGAAGCCAAGTCCAAACCCAGAATTTTTTCTGAGCTTGGATCTAAAGATAATATGAAGTTCATGCCAAAGAAGAGCCAAAAAAAAAAATTAATAAAAAAAGATGAGAATTTGCCTTACCAGGTAGCAGAAAACCAAATCAAAGTCATAATTACTAACATGGATGCATCCTGCCATGGGGAAAAACCAAACAGATCAATGGATCAGAACAGAGTCTAAAAATGAACTCTCTCAGGTAGACACAGATAGATATATAGATAGATATACAGAGAGGGGCCAGGGCCATAGCACAGTAGGTTAATCCTCCACCTGTGGCGCTGGCATCCCATATGGGCGCTGATTCGAGTCCCAGCTGCTCCTCTTCCAATCCAGCTCTCTGCTGTGGCCTGGGAATGCAGCAGAAAATGGCCCAAGTGCTTGGGCCCCTGCACTCATGTAGGAGATCGGGAAGAAGCACCTGGCTCCTGGCTTCAGATCGGAGCAGCTCTGGCTGTTGCAGCCATTTGGGGAGTGAACCAGAGGAAGGAAGACCTTTCTCTGTCTCTCCCTCTGTCTTTAACTCTACCTTTGACATAAATAAATGAATCTTAAAAAAAAACATATATGGAGAGAAGCACACATATATGAACAGGTCTACTTTCTCCATATATGCAAGAAGTTACTCTAAGGCAAGCATACGAGAAAGAAAAGGTCTGAGACAGATGTCATGGTGCAGCAATTAAGACACTGCTTAGGGGGCCAGTGCTTAGCCCTAGTAGATCAGGCCTCCACTTGTGGCACTGACATCCCACATGGGCACCAGTTCAAGTTCTGGCTGTTCCACTTCCAATCCGGCTCCCTGCTGATGGCCTGGGAAAGCAGCAGCAGATGTCCCACCTGCTTGGGCCCCAACACCCCAGACCTGGAAGAAGCTCCTGGCTTCAGATCAACCCAGCAGACAGCAAATGGTCTGGAGGCAGGAGAACAAGTGTAGAACATGACACACCAATCGGAGAGAATGGGGCAAATCTGCGTATGCAGGCACAGGACAATGTTCAGAAACTATTGCCACGTAAACAAATCTCATAAAATGGTATGGTATGGTCTCAGCCCGCGCTGTAGCGCAGCGGGTTAAAGCCCCAGCCTGCAGTGCCGGCATCCCATCCAGCCCCCTGCAGCGGCTCTTGGAAAGCTTTCTCTTTCCCAGCTGACGTGATGACGCCAGTCCCTTCCTGTCCTGAATGCAGATGTGATGTCTGAAGTGCCACAGCTGTCTGTTTCAACAGCTCGAGGCAGACCCACAGCAGATGCCAAGTCAACGGAGTCACCCATTCACCCAACAAACGCAACAGTGGAGAGGCTAAACTAACCGCCTGTTGATTTCAGTCTTTTCCATTAAGAACGACCTTCAGAGGCAGTATTTCATTAAGACACCAGTTGGGGGCCGGTGTTGAGGCGCAGTAGGTTAAGCCTCCACCTGTGACACCAGCATCCCATGTGAATGCTGCTTTGTGTCCCGGCTGCTCCTCTTCTTTTGGCCAAGGCAAGCAGTAGAACACGGGAACACGGCTCAAGTGCTTGGGCCTCTGCACCTGCTTGGGAGACCGGGAAGAAACTCCTGGATCCTGGCTTTGGATCAGCCCAGCTCTCTCATTGAGGCCATTTGGGCAGTGAATCAGCGGATGGAAGACCTCTCTTTCTGTCTCTATCTCTTTCTGTGCATAACTCTACCTCTCAAATAAACAAACAAATCTTAAAATGAAAAAAAATTCGGCTGGCGCCGCGGCTCACTAGGCTAATCCTCCACCTTGCGGCGCCG